AGGTCCTGCCTGCCCCAGGCACCCGTACCAAACGGCAACCAAACACATAATCAGCATGTTCGCTTGTTGGTTTCAGTCAGAGCTTATCAGCCAGGCAACAGTGTTTTTCTCTCACAACAAACCAGCATCAGCCGGGCTTATCAGCCCAGAAACTAACCAGGGAACAGGCTGACTAATTCATAGAGTAAGCTCTTTGATTTCTAGCTTGCTTGTTAGTTTGTTTCTCTTGGTGCTTCGTTTCGGGTATTGAAAACATACCATAACACATGTTCTTTGAATCTTTCGAAGCATCACCGTTAAAATATATATTGCAAGGGTTTAGCACAATCCTATGAACATAACCCACGGGTTAACCATAAAGTGATGTATTATAAAAAAAGTTATTGTCAACTAGTACACAAGCTATTTCTACTGGCGGTAAAAGTTGGTTTCTACTGGTGGTAGTTTTTGATCGCCTATGCCAAATTAAAGGCCAATGAAAATAAGGCATTTTCAATAGAACTAGTTTGTACCACAAGGATAAATGGATTTCTATTCGGAGTCAATGTTAGGCCAGTCTCAGTGGAGAGTTTCATAGTGTTGTTTCCAAGATAATGAAATTTGGATGAAACACCTATTCTCAATGCAAAGTTTCATTCTATAATTTTATAGGCATTTAATTTCATGACTCAAAGATAGTTGGAAATCATGCCTAGACCAAACTCATTTCTTCTCTCTCTTCTTAAATACACTGCCATGTCATAAAAAATACATATGTGGCAAACTATTTAATGCAAATGAAATTCATATAAATCTCCCACTGAGGCTGTCCTTAGTAACTTGCCACTAGAAATCAACTCTTGAAAACAACACAAAAGATAGGCAATGATTTTGCACCTGGGCCCGCGCCATCGAATAAACACGAGGCCACGCCTACCATGTCATAAAAAAAATTTGTACAAAAAACGCATTTGTGTGCTTCATAGGATTCAAATAATAAATCCAGAACCTCCCCTCCTATCAGTCTTACTTACCATCCCACTATATATCAATTTTTGATAACATAATAATTATTCCTTTGGAACAATCGGTAGAGAATATTTTTAGTGGCCACAACGAACTGCCACTTCTTGCCACGCCAGCACCCAGATCTGCCTTGGCTGACCATTTAGGAGGGGCCAGCAGTTTGGAGGAGGGGGCAGCACCGTCAGGGAAGGAGGATGTACGGAGCAGCACCGGCGGAGGATGACGAGGAGCGGCCGGTGCTGGCCAGGGATGAGGGGCAGCGGTGGCAGAGAGAGAGAACGTCAGGCGTGGCCGAGAGAGAGAGATAGAGAGAGCCATGAAGCGCACCATGTGGGTGAATGAGAGAGAGAGCCGATGGCTAGAGTTGGCCATTAATATACTTGATCTCTGTTTTCACCACAAGTTTAAAACATGGACCGACAGCGGCACTGAAAATTCTTACACCGTTGGTTCTGATATAAACGTATGGTGAAACTCATTTTCACTGCCGGTGATAAGTTGGTAATCCTGGTTTTAACAGAACTGACGACAAAAATAGCGTTAGGAAAAATGATTTCTGCAGTAGCGTTGGCCCGTGGTTTCTGTTGCTAATGAATAGAGAAAGATTCGTGGTGATTGGTAAAATAATTCGGAACTGCTAGCGTCCGGACGCCCCTCAGCGCTCGACCCCCCTCGTTCGCTTCCCAGTCCGCACTCCCCCAGCGTGCACCCCTTCCCCAGTTCCGCAACGCGACGCTACCAGCACGCCCTGGGCGATGCGCGCGCAAGAAGGAGCGGACCGCTGGCGATGGTAATGACGAGGCCGGGCAGCAGCATGGACCAACGCCGCCCCAGAGATCGCGCCAATAATATTTCGAAAGAAATATGAGGCTCTCATTCACCCACTCGTCGCCTGGCGCCGCCGTTCGGTCCTTCAAAATAACTCAACCGTGACCAAGGAGATACGGCCGACCTTGTATGGTCAATGACCAAACTGAACCTGTTACTAGAAATACACGTTTTCTACAGTTCATATTCATAAACTTTTTACCTTCCACTAGTAGGAATTATACTTTCCACAACGGACTACTTTATAAGTCATGAGGCCAAATACAGTAGTCAAGCACTTTTTCTTGGTGCGCAACTTTTATTGGTTGCCAGCTCTCTCATGCTCATTAACTGAACCTGTTACTAGAAATACACGTTTTCTACAGTCCATGTTCATAAACTTTTTACCTTCCACTAGTAGGAATTATACTTTCAACAACGGACTACTTTATAAGTCATGAGGCCGAATACAGTAGTCAAGCACTTTTTCTTGGTGCGCAACTTTTATTGGTTGCCACCTCTCTCATGCTCATTAAGGCCACGTTCGGTTGAAGGGGAACGACTCCCTGGAAATATTCCAGCTCGGATTCGTCGTCTAATTTGAATAAGTTTTGTCAACCAGAATTATTCCTGGCCTGGTTTGAGCTAAACCGAACGAGCCCTAAGTGTAATAGTCAAGATTGTATTTATAGCCAGGCATGAAAGAGAAAAGGCGGGTCAAGTAAATGCCACTTAACAAAGTCACGCTGACGCTTTATATTGGTAGCCATAGTATCAACCACAAGAAAATATTTTAACTACTTGATTTTTTATAACAAAATGGGGCTCGACTCCCGTGGAAGCTAATACTTTAGAATTTAATAGCTTTTGTCTTTTGAGTGTGATCGACGATATTTCCATTGACAGCGAGGCACCTAAGTGTTTCCTTGGTCCAGAGTAGCATTCTCAGTTCATTGACTGTTGTTCTACTTCTTGCTTGCTCACAGTCTGTCCAGTTTATTCCAAGTGCTTGATCTGTTTTGTTTGGTAGACTGCAGTAGTATCTACGCAAAGCTTGTTTTTATTTTTATTTTTATTTTTCAGTTTAACGCAAAGCTTGTTTTAAACTTCAGTAATCAGTTTGCAATAAGATCTATGGATTTCTTCTTACTAATCGTTACTATCATTTGAGATGGATCGTCATCAAATTTCTTGTTTTTTTGGTGGACGATTGCTATCAGTCTTTTACAATTTCTTTATTTTTTTAGGACAGTTTTGCGATTGATGAAAATGGTTGCTGTTGAAGCAAGTGCTGCCTGGCAACATACTGCAAATCGTTGCCTGGTTCTGGAGGACACGAAGACAGCTCCACAACAATAGAATAGGATTATTTATTTGTTGTTAATTTGGATTTGGTCATTACTGAAATTCAACTAATGGATATTAATGTATTCAGATGGGTTGATTTAACATTTGATTTGGGCTGTTACGTGGGCTTAAACATGCCATAATTCAATTTTATGACGTTTTTTTACTCGCCAACTCAGCGCCACATCATATTTTCATCCTATGTGGCACGTACCTATGTGGCAAGATCCAAGAACCTATGACGTAGAAACAAAAGTCATAAACCTTTGTGACATCAAAACCATAGTCATAGATTTATGACATGGACATCTAAACGACATAAAACATAGTTTAAGGCGCATGGTTTTTGACGCAAGCTTTTTCGTCAATCTGGTGTCATAAATGTTAACTTATGATATAAATTGCAGATATTACGACAATAACAAAACGACATAAACCCTAACATCTCTTGTAGTGGCTGTTGCCGTGTCCGCGCCGGAGCTCGGGCGGCGCGGGGCGAGTGCAGTGGGCCGCGCGTGGTGGCTCATGCAGGTTCACAGTGGCCGTGTACATGCTCGCACTCAGAGCTGCCAGCGGGGTGGCGGCCAGCGTCGCCTACATGCTGCTGGTCTGCTCTGCTCCGGAGGAGCACGACTTTCTGCTCCCATGATCTCGCTCCCGTGCATAGATTGCACCGCGGGAAATTTGGCCTCCGCAGGTTACTGTCACCGGAGTGGGAGGGGATGTCATGTGCAGGGTCAAAATCTCCTTGGGTGTTAAAATTCACGTGCATTTGCCCCCCTGTCATCCAAAGGAGCCCTTATGAATATATATAAATCCATATAGTTGGATCACTCACAAGCCAATGACTCAACCATGACCAAGGAGATACGGCCCACCTTGTATGATAAAAAAAACGGGCTGCGAGGGGTAGACACCCCTGAGCTATTTTAGCTTAAGGCAGAGGACTTCTTACCCAGTACATGAAAACCCCCGAATCCCATGCCCTGTCCGCGCATATGGGCTTGTTACCCGGGGAGAAGTTCAGTCCCTGTGCTTTGTGAACGCGGGATAGGTGAGGGGGTTTTTTTCCACACTGCCGACCAGAAATTCGTCTGACCAAGGATTCAAACTCTGGTCATGGGACGCCATCCGGAGGCTTGACCAACTGGTCTAGCAACCGTAGGCACCTATAGTGATTTTATCAATTTCGAGGATTTGCCCGCTTAGCCTTCGAAGGTGCTCATAGGGGTACGGTTTGCGTGCGTACGTGTGTTCATAGTGATGGGTGTGCTTGCGTTGTGTGTGTCTGCGCTATACTTTGTAATCTCAAAAAAAAATTGAGGAAGGAAATATGTGCATCTAAATCCATATAATCTGCGCATCAGTTTCAGCACCACTACTCATTTTCTCTACGCAACATATCAGGTGCAAACTAACTAACCTGTGCAAACTTGGAAACTACCAATCAAGACCACTAGATGTTGATCCAATAGATAGGGTGAGGGGGCCTAAGCGCAAAAAAAAAGGCCGGCGGGTGGGGGGCTTAAGCGCAAAATAATCCCACCTCTCACCCCATTCATTGGATCAGCATCTAGTGGTCCTAATGGGTAGTTTCCAAGTTTGCACAAGTCAGTTGGTTTGCACCTGATACGTTGCCTTTTCTCTATTGCTCTCGTAAAAGGACTTTCAAAAGCACTGTTAATATCTTGCTTTGTTTTCCCTGCCACTCACCGTCAAAAGTTGGTTCTCTTTCTCACCGGCCTGCTCGTACCACTCAGGGCTCTATATAAAGTGCAAGTATATGGCGCAGTACAATCAAGAATCATCGCACCCATAGCATTGAAGCGTCCACTAGCAAAATGGCTATTGTAGGAGCCACAAACAAGCCCTTGCTTCTGCTTGTAGCAATGGTCATCTTGTTTGCATGTGCATGTTCCGTAGCCACATCCACAATCCATAACGCATCCGAAACTGACCGACAAGCCCTTTTGGGCCTAAGGTCACAGCTCTCTGATCCAGCTGGAGCCTTGGACTCGTGGAGAGATGACTCACTCTCATTCTGCGATTGGCGAGGGGTGTTCTGCAGCACCCGGAATGCACCTCGCGTCGTATCTCTAAACCTTTCAGCCCTGAACATCACCGGAAGCTTATCTCCATCCATTGCTCACCTTCGTTTCATACATAGGATCGACATATCTTACAACCAAATCAATGGCTGCATACCTCCAGAGATTGGCAATCTAACACGTCTGAGTATCCTCGACCTAAGCATGAACTCCATCACCGGGGTGATTCCAGCTTCCATATCTTTCTGTACCCGCCTCCAGGTTATCAGGCTAAGGAACAACTCAATGGAAGGTGAGATTCCCCAAACTCTTGCTAACTTGCAGTTTCTTCAAGAAATTATTCTTAGCAATAACAAACTTGGTGGAAGCATTCCTTCTGGCATTGGTTTGCTTCTTAGACTCCAATTTCTGTTTCTCCCCAGTAACAATCTGTATGGTAGTATTCCTGAGTTCTTGGGAAGTAGTTCAGCACTCTCCATGGTGGTTGTGCGGAACAATAGCCTAACTGGTGGCATTCCACCTATGTTGGCAAGTTGCTCAACACTCTACTACCTTGACCTCATGAGTAACAAGCTCACTGGAAACATCCCTTCTACTCTCTTCACCAGCACATCTCTTCTTCACATAGACCTGTCAGATAATGGTTTTTCTGGGCCCATCCCATCATCATCCTTGATGTATTCACCTCTGCAGTATATTAGCTTAACAAGAAACAACTTCTCAGGAGTTATACCCGCCACACTTGGAAACATGTCCTCCCTTATCATCCTCCTTCTGGCTGAAAATAATTTGCAAGGAAGCATCCCTGAACATTTAGCTAGAATTCCAAGATTGGAGGTACTAGACTTGGCTTATAACAACTTGTCAGGCCGGGTTCCACGAATTTTTTTAATAGCACGTCACCACTTATCTTGGTCTTGGTGAAAATGAACTTATCGGAACAATTCCAAGTGACATTGGCTACACTCTTCCAAACATCCAAACATTGGTCATGGAAGGAAACCATTTTGGTGGCCCACCCCAGTGTCTCTGGTTCATGCTTCCAACCTCCAAGCTTTGGAACTCCGTGATAATGCATTCACTGGAGTCGTTCCTTCGTATTGGTCATTGCCCAGCTTGACTCAGTTAGACCTTGGTGCAAACAATCTTGAGACAGTAGATTGGAGTTCCTTGTCTTCAACAACAAGCTCGAACATGCTGCAGATGATATATTTAGACAATAACAATCTTCAAGGATCAGTACCGAATTCCATTGGGAATCTTTCATCTAACTTACAACAATTGTTTCTAACAGAAAATAATTTTAGTGGAAGCATACCTTCTGAGATAGGAAACCTTGGAAATCTCACTGTTCTTCAACTGGAAGGAAACAGATTCTCTGGAAGAATTCCTGAGACGCTTGGAAATCTAGGTAGGTTGTTTGTCTTCAGCTTGGCAAACAATATACTTTCTGGTAGAATCCCGGAATCAATTGGAAATCTTGAAAGCTTAAGTGAGCTTTATCTCCAGGAGAACAACTTGAGTGGTTCAATACCTCCAGGCATTAAAGGTTGCAAGAATTTAGTGATGCTGAACTTGTCACATAATGTTCTCCAAGGAAGCATCCCACCTGAAATCCTATCCATTTCTTCTCTTTCTAAAGGCCTGGACTTGTCATATAATAAACTCACTGGATCCATATCATCTAACATTGGTAGACTGATTAATCTTGGCTTCCTTGATATTTCCAACAACCATTTATGTGGAGTGATTCCTCACACACTTGGTGACTGCATTCTATTGGAATCCATTCACTTAGAGGTGAATTTTTTTTATGGGAGCATCCCCCTATCCTTTTCAAGCTTAAGGGGCATCACCATGATCGATCTATCTCAAAACAACTTATCTGGTGAAATCCCAAACTTTCTTGAGACGTTTAGCAGTTTGCAGCTTCTTAATTTATCATTCAACAACCTCGATGGAGTTGTACCTACAGGTGGTCCATTTAGCAACTCAAGCAGGGTTTTCTTAGAAGGGAACAAGATGCTATGCACAAGAGACCCAATCCTACAGTTACCACATTGCATGTCAACAATATCGAATAGAAAGAGGACTTCCTACATTATATTGATAGCAGTTCCACTTGTCAGTGCTGTGACCATCTTAGCTGCTTTATTCGCTGCAATCATTCTTTTGAAGAAGAGATTTCGTAAGAAGAAGCTTGTTCAAAAGTCACTCGAGGGTTTGAAGAAGTTTTCATATTCTGACATAGCAAAGGCAACAAACGAATTCTCTTCAGACAACCTTGTTGGAGCTGGGACATTTGGATTTGTCTATATAGGTATATTCAAGTTTTTGGCACACCCTGTTGCAGTTAAGGTGTTCAAACTTGACCAACTTGGGGCACCAAAAAACTTCTTTACTGAATGTGAGGTGTTACGAAGCACTCGGCACAGAAATCTTATACGGGTGATTAGTTTGTGCTCAGGCTCGGACCAAATGGGAAATGAGTTCAAAGCCCTCATTCTTGAGTATATGGGAAATGGTAACCTCGAAATATGGCTGCATTCAAATGGGCTGTCAGAAACAAAGAGAATGCTATTAGATCTAGGTTCAAGGATAATGATAGCCATAGATATAGCTGCAGCCTTGGACTATCTCCACAATTGGTGCACGCCTCCTCTAGTTCATTGTGATTTGAAGCCAAGCAATGTTCTTTTGGATGATGATATGGTTGCTCACGTTAGCGACTTTGGATTAGCAAAGTTTTTGCACGACCATTCTTCAGTGAACCTTAATAGTTCAACAAATATTATTGGACCAAGAGGTTCAGTTGGATACATTGCACCAGGTAAGAATTTATTCATATGATTTTGATATATGTCCCTTGGTCAGCCTTAGTGGAAGTAATTAATTTATCACGCGTTCTCAGATATTTTGAAAATAATAGGGTTTTCATGCAATACCATTCCTTAAGATAATTTCGTATGCTACAATAATTTGATTTTTTTTGTATTACATTATTTATGCAGAATATGGAACGGGCTGTGAAATTTCAACAGCAGGTGACATTTATAGCTATGGAGTTATTCTATTAGAAATGATTACAGGAAAGCATCCAACAAATGACATGTTTAAAGATGGCCTTAACCTTCACAATTTTGTGGAGCATGCATTTCCACACAATATTTGTGAGATTTTGGACAGCAGTCTCATTCCGTTTCATGAGCCAGCAAGTCATGACAATGAAATTGAGAATCAAACACTCAATGGTATTCAAAACTGTATCAAAAGGATGGCACAACTGGGCCTAATGTGTTCTGTGGACTCACCGAAAGATCGTCCGGCAATACAGGATGTTTACACTGAAATCATTGCAATAAAAAAAATGTTTTTAGAATCACAGTGTTGAGAGAATGGAAATATTGATTTACGCGGTGCTTGTCCATCAATGCATGCTCCTACGTATGCTAGAAGTTTTATTAAAAGTATAAGAATTAGAAGTTCATGTTTTGTACCTACAACAAATCAAATTTGCTTACCTTTGTGACAGACCAACATCCTAAGGGTTTTCCATAGGGCTGACTACCTGGCTAGGAGATGGGCTGGCCCAAGGTTTGGCTAGATGGCGCGGAACAAGGTGGCGTGTTCTCCAAGGCTACAAGAACTGACCTAGTCGGATTATAGGAAAGCTAGTCTCTATAATAGAATTAGGACTCTTCTGTTGTAACCGACTAGGACTAGATCAATGCACCTTCTCTCTGGACTATATAAAGAGAGGCAGGGGCATCCCCTTGTAACATCATACAAAACAATCCAATGCAAGGCAACACGCCTAACTGGACGTAGGGTATTACGCTATTCAGCGGCCTGAACCAGTATAAATCGATGTCTTTGCGTTCACCATCTAGTTGAGCATACGTCGAAGCCCACCTAACATCGTTCCGGGTAACCCTGTAACGTGTTGCCAGTCATTAGACACCAACACTTTGTGCACATAGTCTCTGTCTGTGCATTTTCTGATATTATTCAGATGTCATACTCTGTAATACTTTTTTGGGTATCATATGTTTATCAATTACCTTATATATTTTTCCTCATCATATTAGTTTACAAAGTGCATGTCCAATGCATGCTCCTACAGATCTCACATGCCCTCATGTCCTTCGAGGCCTAATCTTGGTTAGATGGACTTTGCTTCTGTGCTTCTTATAAAAGTGCTCAACTAAGTCTACTTCTCTACAATCTAGCAATATGAACCAGAAAACACGATGTTGCATTGTTGGGTTCGTATCAGCACCAAGTGGCATAAACCTTCTCGTAAAGATGAAATAATCACCAAGAGTGATACAAAACTATCGCTGTAAATAGCGCCAACACTAGTGCTCTGCATCTGGTTCTCAAGTGCTTAGAACATATGGTTGAGTTCCTCACTTTGAGACAATAGTGATGGAAAGGAAAGGCCCTGTTATTTGAATCTTTTCTTACGTTAATTGAAATTTCAAACCATATATTTTAGCATATCATTGTGAAGAACTTTGGATTTGACGTAGCACATATCGTGGGACTATAGTTGACAAGATAATACTTCCAAACCATTACTTTAAATGAGTTCTTTAGGATTTTTTTTAAATCATTTTGGAGCCAAATAGCTTTGCTGCATTAGGGGAGATTTTCATCTCGAAACCACAAAAGCTTTGATGCCTAATATAAGAAAAAATGGCGTTTACTTGATTCATAGCATCAACACAAAAAATATATGACTTTTGCAGCTGTGGTCAGTTTTGAATTTGCAAAAGGGGTTAATACATGAGCTATTCTACCATAGCCAGTGGCTGGTTCAGGACCATCCAGGTAAATCATGAACCCCAAATCGAGTCATCTAGCTAAAACTGTGGGAATGTACTTTACGAAGGCACCCCTACCGTGGATTCACTGTAACACTCTAAAATTTGCTCCTTTTGAAATAAGGTTAAAAATGATTTAATTATGTATTTTTATGCTCATGAAACATAGGGAAATAATAATTTTTCATTCAATTAAAATTCATCATAGGGTTAGCAACCTTATTGATCCATTCATGTTGGTTAATGTGTTTTATTGTGATGCGTGGTTTTGATCTAAATCCAAAATGAATTCAAATTGCTTTTGAAATGATTTGAAAGTGCTTTGAAATAAAAGAATAGAAAATAAAAAAGAAGAAAAACCTCCCTCCTGCCCTTCTGGCCTGAAGGCCCAACCGGCCCAGTCCTCACTCCTCTCCTCTCTCCCATTCCGCAGGCCCAGAGCACCCTCGCCTCGCGTGGCCCAACAGGCTGGCCCAACCAGGCCAAAGCCCAAGCTTTTGCTCCCCTCTCCCCTCTTTGTTTCACTGCCACCCGGGACCCGCAGGTCCGGGTCATCCCCTACCTTGAGCCGTGCCCGAGCCGGACTCTACTGCCGGGAGTCCGCCTCCGAGCCATCTTCGTCGGATGGCGTACCACCCATGCCGAGGCCCCTATATAAGTTGAGCCCATGCGTCGCATCGCCCCATCCCCAAACCCTAGCACCGCCGCCTCGCGTCGAGCCAGCAACCGTGAAACCCTAACACGCCGCCACCGAGCTCGCTTTGTCGTTCCGCAGCTTCGTCGTCGCTTTGAGACGATCTCTGAGCTTCGCAAGTTGGTAAGGAGTACACTGGTACCTCCCTTGCTCTCTCCCTCCTTTCCACTTGCGTAAACACGCTCACTGGAGCAACGCCGATGACCCGAGCCGCCAAATCAAGCTCGGCACCGCCTCCGCTTGTTCGCGGCCGTTTTCGATCCCCGCTTCGAGTTCGCCGTACTCCTCTCTCCCTCCCCATTCTTTTATTTGGACCAATGATGCGCGAAGTCACCGTATCGACGAACTTCGACGAGGTCGGGCCTATTCCGGCCATTGCGCTGCTACCCAGCTCCATGCTGGCAACGCCCTCTCCTGCCCCTTCTAATCCTGGCCATACGTCTTAGATCTAGTGGGCGAGATCGCACAATACCCCTTCGTCATGGCATTTTTGCATAAGAGCCCCTGTCTTTCTTCAATTTTCTGCCTGCCATCCTCGATCCAGATTTAAAAATCAAATTTTATATATTTTAATTCGAATTAAGTTCCAACTATTTACAGTTTTGCCTCTACCTTCTTTAGGCCATAACTTCTACATTTTAACTCCTTTTTAGCCCGTTCAAGTTGTGTTAGATTCATAACGACGTAATCTACGTATTAGTAACACTATTTATCCTATTTTGTGCTTTCAAATAAAATGATAAATTGATCAATCTATATGCAATTGGTTTTCCAATTAAAAGCAACTTAGTTTTTCCACTTCGATCTTTTATAAATAAAATATGATTATAATATATTGTTTTTCAAATTCAAATATAAACTTAACTCAATTTGGATATTTCTCTGAAATATCTTATATATGTTTTTATATATAGTTAAAATGAATGTAGCTAGTAGTTTTCTTTATCTCCCAAAAATAAATTTTAGGATAGCCGTTTCTTTTGCACCGTAGCTCCGATTAGCGGGCTTTTTGTGCTCGTAGCAATGCGTAGATTAGTTTTCAAATCTTTTTATTGATCGGTGTACTGTTCTAATTTAGTCATATTTGTCTGTTATGCATGTCTGTTTGGATACTTGTGTGGTGCTTTATGATATTGTCCAGTCGGTGAGCTTTACATGGCGATCAAGAAGGAGTTCCTTTGAAGCTTTGGACTAGAAGAAGAATCTAAGTTTAAAGCAAGTGTAGCATGGGATCATCCTTTTTGTCCTATTCACCTTTAATTTCAGTTAATTCATACTACATGTGTCCACCTTGACTACCACTAAGGATTTCCTAGTACTTTGTTACAAGGAACAAGGGGCTAGAGCATAGTCAAGAGGTTGGCTGCCTGGGGCGGCGAAAGGGTAAATTACGGCTCATGGTAAAAGTGTACAACCTCTGCAGAGTATAAAACGGGTATATTAGTCGTGCTCATGGTCACGAGCGGCCTTGGAACTCTTACGGAATAGATGATCATTAATGGTAAATTGTTTATGCTATTCATTATTCATGTTTACCTGATCATGTGTTTATGTGGGCTTGTGATAAACTTGTTGCTACTCAATTGCTAAAATCATGACTTACTAAAAGCTAATCGCAGTAACTAGTGTCAACCTTTTTAGCCTCATGAACTCCATGTTATATTGTTGAGTACGACATGTACTTATACTTTCTTTACTTTTAAATTCTTTGGAAAAATCCCGGATGGGTACCAGATTGCTCGAGTATGATGGAGTTAGCCTTATGATCAACCAGTTAGTTGTCCCTATGGATTTGGAGCTTTCGCCTAAAGAACGGAGTGTCTTTCCACTGTCTACTATCTAATATTATATTCTTTGTACTAATACGCTTTGTAATTAAGCATCGTCTTTTGATATTACCTCTATTTGTAGCCATATGTGTGATTTAACTTACTGGGCTCACATATGGTATGTATCTGGTTTTGTACTTAAAACCGGGTGCCACATTCACAATGTGTCCATTCGCAAGCATCGTCTGAAGAAAGCTATAGTCCCTCTAGTTTTATACAACTAGTACATCAACCCGTGCTCCCGCAAAGGATAGAATCTTAGGAGACATAAGCATTAGTTATTGTTTAATATTTTTGGTTGATAATAGTTACTTATATAAAATCGTACTTTTTTCTTTTGTTCATTTTGTAACACAATTAGCGTAAATAGATAATTTAGAACCTCTATCCGATTGTGGTAAAATTATCGATCATTGATCTATATTTTTTTCATCCATATCAATATTTTTTCCTTTGCATGGCAATTTTTTTATGATCAGTATGGATTTAGTCGAAACCTTAGCTTAAACTATGGTGATCTTGTTGCAGCCCAAATCTTATGACATCGTCAATCTAAATTTTGTTTTTAAATTAAATCTTATTAGTCCCTATTGATTTTTATCCTGAACTTAAGTTAAAACTCATGTGCTTATTAACTCTTCTTTTTTTACCTTTAATAAGTATTTTAGGTTGTAGATTTCACTCTTAAGTATTATGATGACTAATTAAAGGACCATTTAAAACCTACACCCTTCGTGGCTTAAGATTGGTGGTAGAGCTTGATGCGAGATCTAGAATTGGATAGCGGTGCTAATTTCAAGAGGATATTAATATTTAAGCCTCATAACCACGGTTTACTCTAAAGGAATCTTGAAGGCAAAAAATATAAAGCCACCTTTGGTCTGCACAAACATCTTCCACTTCTCATGATGTTTGCATTTTCATATCAAGAAATAATAATGTACAATAATCGTTCTACCGTTAACATAGATATATCAAGAAATGTATAAATATGTCTACATAACAACTTAGATAAATATGTCATGATTATTAATATAATTTT